TTGCCAGGTCTGGGACTCAAACCGCAGTCAACTATATGGGAGTCCAGCAATGCAACCATTATGCCATCTGCTGATCTAAAAGATAGGCAGATTTTTTAAAATTAATTTACTTTTTAATTTTTTTAAATATACATTCAGTCACATTGTTTAGCTTACAAAGTAAACATTTCAATATGTGAACATTTCTCCCCAGTCCAGTTGATCAAAATATCTTCAACCAATAACACCACATCTCCCCATCCCGTCAATGCTCTGCTTCTGTATCCCTCTTCAGGCAGATTTTTAAAAACATATATAGAACTTCTAGAAGTTAAAAAACTACAACAAGATGAATAATAGCACATGGAGTATAGAAAGAATAAGAAGTTCTAACATATATCTAATATATGTTCCAGGAAAAAGAAAAAAGACTGAAGAGAACATTTCAAAAGATGATGGCTGAGAGGTTTACCAAATTAGTGGTAAAAATTACTTTTCATGGCAGATAGCATAATGGTTGCTTCTCTGGACTCCCACATAGTCAACCACAGTTTGAGTCCTGGATCCGACGACTCTTAACTCACGCTGGGCGCATGTGCGTGTATGGCCAAAATCCTGAGAGGAGAATGGAGAAGGGATTGCAGTGTGATCAATCTCTTGGGGGGTAATTTCTTGCTTTCTGTCTCTCTGGTGAGCCCATGTGCCCTACAACAAAAATCTTCCGTAAGAAAAAAAAATGACTTTTCATGTTTGAGATTCAAAACTAGTCCTAGCCCATATAAATTCACACTTAGACATATTATATTAAAGCCAAACAAGGGGGCCGGGGGGGGGGGGGGGGGGAGTGAAAGAAATTTAAAAGCAACGGTAGAAAAAAAGTGGATCACCTACTAAGAACAATAGTAAGAGAGTTTTCATGAGCAACAGTAAAAGTCAGGGGGAAAAGTGGAGTAACACCGGAAGCTCTAGGGGTGCAAGATAAGCTGCTCCATCCAGAATTCAGCACCAAGCTACACCATCATTCCAGAACAATTGCAATATAAAGACAACTTTAGATAAATATTAAGTGTTTGTGTTTTACTACACCCTTGCTGGAAGAACTAGTGAAGGATAGACTTCATAAGAAAATTGGATTAAGAGAATAAAACAAGAATAGTAAGCAAAGAAATTCACGAATATAGAATAAATGTCAAAGTCTTCACTGAAAAAAATAATAAAAATCTAAAGAAGATACAAAATCAAGAATGACACACAATGCCCCTGAGTGGCCAAAGAACAGTCTCTGTTTAAGACAATCATTGAGCTATTGAGTAACTTTAGTTTTTAAAAGCCATGTATATGTATATGTGTATATATATGTATATGTAAAGTTTAAGGGGAATTAAAATAAAATAGAAACATAATCTGTAACTTACAACCAATAAGGGAAGGAAATAGGAGATTAAACCAAAGTAAGTAACTTAATCTAGAAGGCAGGGACAAGAAAAAAGAAAAAGAATAATACACAGTTATTCATAATTTAATGTTGAAACAGCTAAGTATTCCTTTTTAAGTCAGCAAAGACAAGGATGTGCTTCATCACTGCTTCTACCCAATATTATCGAGGAGGTTTTTACTAAAGTAATAAGAAAAAATATAAAGACATAACAATGGGGAAAGAAGAAATAAATCTGTTACTATTTACAGACAATAGAATTATCTGAAAAAAATCTAAGAAATATATGGACACATTCATAAAACTAATAATAAAGTTTTTTTTAAAGTTTCTTCAAGAAAACTGTTATACAAAATATCAATGTTGGTTCTACAATGCAGCAACAAACCATTGAAAAATGTAATTTTCCCCTAGCAATTATACTCTTCATGCCAATCCAAGGGTACTCTTGCATATATGCACACAAAGACAGAAATAAGACTATTGTCTGCAAAAAATATTGTGAGTAAAAAATATAGTAAGCAAACAAATAATTCAACTAGCTATATTTGTACACTAGAATAAAATGCAACAATTAAAATGAGTGAACTGCAATCTGGATAAATCTCAGAAAAAAAATCATGCTAAATGAAAAAACAAGTTACAGGACCAGCAGACGGCATAATACTTATGTTGCTAGACTCCCACATTAACAACCATGGTTCAAGTCCCAGACCCAGTGGCCTAAAACTTACGCCAGGCCCATGTGCGTGCGTGACCAATATCCTGAGAGGAGAGTGGAGGAAAAGGGATTGTGGTGTGGCCATCCCCCAAGAGGGTGCTTTCTCACTCTCTGTCTCTCTCTAGCAAGTGTACATACCCTATAGCAAAAATCTCCCCCCCCCACCAAAAAAAAAAAAAAGAAAAAGAAAAAAACAAGGTTACAAGTAGAAGGTTTGATATAGTATTGTTTATGCAAAATTTACTTGAGAAATTATTAATGAATGTACATATATGTAGAAAAAAACTTGCATTGGAAGCATGACAGGAAAGAAACTTAAAACTTCATGCACATAATTATTTCTATATCCAGAACAGTAGGATTTCAGTCATATCTGTAACATTTTATTTTCCTTGAAAAAAAATTTTGAGGCAAATACTACAACATTTTTAAGCTTGATCTAAGTGGGGGCAAGAATGTCTGTTACATTATTTTCTGTGCCTTACTTCTTTCATAATTAAAAATCAATAGGAGGGTCCAGCAGGTGGCAAGGTGGTTAACGTGGCTGGACTCCCACATGGCTGACCGCAGTTTGAGTCCCAGACCTAGTAGCTTGATTTCTTACTTTGCCTTTCTCTTTGTCTGTCTCTGGTCAACTTTAAAAAAATAAAATAAAGGGGACCAGCAAGTGGCATAGTGGTTAAGGGTGCTAGACTCCCACATGGCCAACCACGGTTTAAGTCCCGGACCTGGCGGCTTGCTTTCTCACTTTCTCTCTCTCTCTCTGTCTCTCGTCAAATTAAAATAAGTAATAATTAAAAATATAAAATAAAATAATGACATTGAATAAAATAACTTTAAAAAACATCAATAGGAAAGATATAGTCATTGATCAAACTGACATTTTAACCAAGTTATTTAAAGAACCACTTTGAGATTCTTTCATCCCTCTTGATTTCTACTGTATTCTTCACTTCCTCTTTTTATGGTGTCTGCCTCTTTCTTAGAGAAGTCACTGATATATCTTAAACTCCCATGTAAAATAAGAACAACAATACAGCAAGAAAAAGAATGAACCAGCTTCTTTGTCCCAGACTTTCAGACTTATATTTATTTGTGTGTCAGGGTAAGCTACAGAAGGACTAATTTATCTCTCTTGGCTCTACTGGCCAAGCTTATCATTCACACATTAGAGAGCTGGAAATCTTCAGAGACTACAGCTTCTAGCAATAAATTAAACCTTTTACTTTGAGACTTGGTTCCTGTTTGATTTTTAAGAAAGTTTAAAATCAAATTGCCACTGGGAGGCTAAAGATGATGACAGATGACTTATTTCCCAATTTCCCCCAGCTTACTTTAAAAATGTATTTTTCTTGTAACAAAAAAAGAAAGCATTAAAAAATATGGTGTGTTACCGTCTACCCTTTCCACATGAACAGCAGAAAAAATGACTCCTTTTCCTTCATTGCAATTCCACGAGAACAATGGAAACTAGACCCCACAATCACGTACTGAATAGTTACTGTCTGAATGGAGTTATGTTTGACACCAGATAGCAAGTTCAAAACCAAGTACTAAGACTATGCATTCATTTTTGAGAGAGGAGTTTTTTGTTTCCTCTTTCAAAGATTTAAGCTAGATTGAGTCTACATGTGCCTTGACATATATTACATGTCTGTCCCTTAAACGGGTTCACATATATCACCAGAGAATAAGCCATCACGTAACAATGTTCATCCAAACTAGCAGCAATGCCTGTGGGGTGAAACTCAAAGACCATCCAAATACGCATATATATGGCCAAAAAGTGGAATGCTTGAAATTATCTGTCACTATAGACAGGTAAAGATATTTCATGAGACAGAACATAAAAACTTGTGAAAAGGATTTGTCAGCTATGCATAATAACACAGGCACTCATTTAAGTAATAATTTAACTCCTGTTTTCACAGGACTAATAAAATAGATCAGCATAATAAAATTTAACAACGTACATGCTTCTTCCACACTTAGCCAAAAAAGATGCCATAACATACAACCTTCTACAGCTGTCTCAGGATATAGACTAGCCAGGCAGTTACCCAGACAGGAAACTCAGGACACTTATTTTTCAGCACTTTACACTTCCATATTTTACATCTGATTTTTAGGACAAAGAACAATTTATTAGATGCTCAGAAATAATATCGCTGGCAAATCCTCTCTCTTTTTTCATCCAATGATTTCTAATATCATAGTATTTCTGTCTCTGTCTTCTCTATAGAAACTTTATAGAGAGGAAGATTCAACGTGGATGCAGTACAGGAAGTTTAACCACAAAGACGCTGGAGAAACTGCTTGCTGGCACTCAGTTGGAGCAACTCAATAATGCAATTCATGACCAAAAGAAACCAAATATTATGCAAGCTCCCAATACCCCAATGCAGAAAGTCAACTCTCCAGATAAGTTTACTTTATTTGGACTCCAAGGCAAAAGACCATAAACCAACATAATCTAAAAATGCTGGCTTTACTGAATTTCTGAAATATGTTATTAACTTTAGAAAACCAATGTAATGAAAATGTTACATTCTTTTTCATAGTTGCTACCTTCATTATAACTATTGAAAAAAATAATAGAATTAAAAATAAAAGGTAATTATGTTCTAGCCCAAAGGTGAGATATAGAAGCCTTCTTACTCTACAGCTTCCTATTTAAGAATCATCTTGGATCATTTACTAATTCTTTACCAATATTCGTGCTATCGAAATGAATGATCGATTTTAAGCTTAAATAATTTTATAAAATAATCCAAGTTGTCAACATAAGAACTTCCAACTTGTCCATCGTAAAGGTTAGAACATTATTCTAACTTGTCCATCATAAAGGTTAAAACGTACACATACCTCCACAAATATGAAACACGGGATGATGGAATAACTTCGTTGAGTGTTGTTTCCTACGGCCATTTCTCACAGTATGTAGCAAGACTGCACCGTCTACAAGTGTCCAGCTGTAATAGAAACAGATTGCAGGGCGTAAGAACCACATGTTGAGAAGCCCCTTCAGTACTTACATAAAAATATTAGTTACTCTCTACATAAGGAGGCTGTGTTCGAAAATGGAAAATGATGATCTACAATACAGTCAAGTCAGAATGAAAGCCCTCCCAATGAAAAGCAAGTAACAGGTACCAGCCATGAACAGTCTTAGAAATCAAAATGACCGGGTAGGGAACCCCTTGCACTCAGAGCTATAACAAATAGAATTCTAATTTTCTGGTACTATTGCATCTTAACTCAGTAGAATGCCTTTGTGCCCTAACACAGTTTCTGGCATAAAATAGTTATTGTGCATCTTGCATCAATCTCTTCTACCTGTAATTAATTCTCCCCATTTGCAACCCAGGGGCTCATTTGCATATGTCCTTGCCTCCCCCTTTGGGGGTGACATTTAGCACAAAGCAGAAATCCCTGATTTTTCTTCCTTGACCATTGTTTATCCTTGCTTCCTTGACTACACAGCCATGAACTACTTTGGGTTAATACATCACTCATCTGTCTCATTTGCTTCCCTCAGCCATGTGTGTGTGACCCAGACATGAAACAAGAATCCCATTCTTTTAACTTACAGGAATGGTATAGGTAGGCAACAGCAAATTTTTATTATTTAGTTCAATATTTCTGTCCTACTTTGAACTGAAAATATTCTTACACTAGGAGATCAGTTAATTTTGGTTCTTCTTAATAAAAGCAATGAGGTAGAGATTTTAGGCTTTTGTAAAATTTCCAGATCAGATAAAATTAATTTTTCTACTATACTTTTTTAAAAAAAAAAAATATTTAGAGCATGTGTTCTTGCCAGGGAGAGAGAGAAACAGACACGATGAGAGCAAAAGTGAGAAGTCACCCGCGAGGGGGATGGCTAACCACAATCTCTTCCTCTCCTTTCTCCTTCCGAAGTCTTGGGAATGCATGCACATGCTCCTGATGCAAGTTTCAAGTCACTGGGTCTGGGAATCAAACCGTAGTTGATCATGTGAGAGTCCAGCAATGTAACCACTATGCCATCTCTATCCAAAATGATATTGCAAATGTTTCAGGCATCTGCCCTTGATAACTATTATTTTTCATTTGTTTTGTTTCTATGGCATCCCTATCAAGAGTTTTTTTTTTTTGTGGATCGTGATATGAAGGACAACACACTGACTATGAGTATAAAGACCAAATGTGCTTTTATAGAAAGGTTACGTAACAATAAGGGCCAGTCAGTGGCATGGTGGTTAAGGTGACTGGATCCAACATGGTTAGTTGCATGGTTCAAGTCCTGGACCCAGCAGCTTGAAATACATCCTGGGCATGTGTGCTGAGTGCCCCAAATCCCAAGAGGAAAATGAAAGAGAAACGACTGTGGCCATCTCCCCAATAGTGCATTTTCTCACTTTCTCTCTCTCGCTCTCTGACAAGCACAAACTCCCTATAGCAAATTTTAAAAATAAATAAAACAGTTATGATTTAGTTGATCCCTTCATTCCTGTCTTTACTAAGTCCTTTCTTAACCTTTTCCAGAATAAAACTTCAAAATACAATTTCATCTCTTTTTGAGATACCAGATTTCACTTGTCAACTTTTCAAAAAAAAACCTCTTTGAATCAAATTTAAAAGTATATGCTTTGTAAGTCCATATCAAGCACAGTATTCAAATTATCTGAGTTTTGGGGATCAGCAGATGTTACGTCCCTGGATTCCCATGTAGTTGACCACTGTTTGAGTCCTGGACCTGGCAGCTTAAAACTCATGCCAGATTTGTGTGCATGCATGCCCAAAATCCTGAGAGGAGAATGGAAGAGAAAGGACTGAGGCATGGCCATCCCCTCTGGTGGGTGATTTCTCATTCTCTCTCTTTCTCACTCTCTCTCTGTCTCTCTGGCAGGCCCATGCACCTTATAGAAAAATTCTCTCTTTCTTAAAAAGAAAGAGAGAAAATTCATGCTTGGCACATGTGTGTGCATGCCCAAGATCCTGAGAGGAGAATGGAGAAGGGATTGCTGCGTGACCATCCCCCCTGGGGGGTGATTTCTCGCTTTCTGCCTCTCTGTCTTTCTGGTGAGTGCACGCACCCTGTAGCAAAAATCTCTTTTAAAACAATTATTGAGTTTTAGGCAACTTGATTTTCTCAGTTAAAATTGGGTATTATTTGTCATCTACCTAATGTATTTGCTACTTAACCATTCTATTTTGGCATTTAGAAAGAACTAATATTTCCTATAATTTATATGTAGAACATACTCTGAATTGATTTGCTAATCATATATTGTTTTCATTTTACCCTTACCTGATGCAAATATCTTAGAACCTACTTAAGGGTATTTATGATTCAGGTAAGTTCCTTGTTAACATTAACTAAATACACAACTAGTATTTTCCATGGCTTCTCCATGTAATTAATGAAGAATAGCAATAATATAGAGAGCACAGATGAGTTTAGGAGTCTCATACAAAATTCTCCTCTATGCTCATTCTTTTGTTCCAAAAGGCAATCTACCTTTCATATATGTTTGGAAATATATTAACCCATATCATATGTGTGTAGGTATATATTTTCCAATTACATATAAATATAATTTACTCATTTTTTCTGAGAGTTTTTTTTCTTTTTGATAATAGGGCACGTGCGCTGGCCAGACATACAGAGAGAGCGAGACAGAGAGACAGAAAGCGAGAAATCAACGCCCGGGGGGATGGCCACGCCGCAATCCCTTCTCCTCCATTCTCCTATCGGGATCTTGGGCACGCACGCACACGCACCCGGTGTGAGTTTTAAGCCACCAGGTCCGGGACATGAACCACGGTTGACCACATGGGAGTCCATCAACATAGCCATTACACTAACTGCTGGTCCCGATAATTTACTCATTTCAAGTGTAACTTAATATTTTAGTAAACTTACCAAATTGCACAACTATCACATAAAAGTTTCAGAACATTTTTATCATCCCTGGAAGAACTCTCATGTGTATTTACTGTTAATCTTCATCATTGACTTCTTCACCATCTCCCAAGCCCAGGGAGAATGTTTTTTAGATTCATTTACATTGTAGCATCTATCGGTAATTTTTCGTTTTATTGCCAAGTACTGTCCCATTGTGTAGCTATAGTATCTTCACCAGTTGGTGGAAACTTAGGTTATTTCAAAGTTTTTCACTATTAGGTTGTATCCACTATTAGGGTAATGACACTAAGAATATTTATGTACAAGTCTATCTGTGGGTTTATATTTTTATTTTTTATGGGAAGACACTTTATTGGATTGCATGCTAAATTAGATTTAATTCTTTTAAATATGTATTTTTTCTTTATTCATGAGAGAGCATGTGTGCACAAATGTGAGAGTGGAAGAAAGAGGAGGAAGACTCTAGTCTCTCTTGAGCAATGCATTACTGCCGCACCACAGAGCTGCCCAGTGTTTAATTTTTTAAGAGAATGCAAAATATTTTCCAAAGTGGTTGTGACATTTTACATTCCTACCAGCAGTGTATGAGAGTTCACATTTCTCCACATTCTGACTAGCATTTTTATTGTCTTTTTAAAAATATATAGCCTTTTTACTGGGTGTAAGATGGCATCGCATCATGGTTTTAATTGTCATTTGATAATAAAAAATGATGGTAAGCAGCTTTCCATGTACTTACTAGCCATTATTGTATCTTCTTTTGTGAAATGTCTACTCAGATGTTTTGTTTGACTTTCGTTATTGGATTTTTCACTTTATTATTTTCAAGGTGTCAGAGTTATTTGTATATTCTGGATACAAGTCATTTATCAGATATGTATTTTCCAATTATTTTCTTCCAGTCTCTTGTCTCTTAACTTTCTTAATGATGTATTTTATATGCATATTTTATTAGTCTTTGTCATAATTGCCACAGGGTGCATGCACTTGTCAGAGAGAAATGGAAAGACAGAGAGACAAGAGGGAGAAAACCACCCCCCAGTGGGGTGTGGTTATGCTGCAATCCCTTCTCCATTTTTCCATCCTGTTGGGATTTTGGGTATGAACATATATATGCCCGGCATGTTTTTATACCCACAGGACTCAAACCAAACTGTCAGTCATAAGTGATCCAGCTGCCTCAACCACAATGCCAGCCGCTGGCCCTAATGTAATTTTTAATCAGAGGTTTTTCTTGGTTAGCTTTAATTTCAAAGACAGTTGAATAGAGATATTTATTACTGACATACCATATTTTCATTGCCATTTTAAAATATAAAAAATACAAATATCAAGATAAGATTAGATATTAGAAATTAAATGACTAACTTAATGGAAAATCATAAATAGTAAATGGACAATTTATAGAAGACATATGGATGAAAATATTGACAGCTTCATTGAAGCCAAAATATGAAGACTAAAACATTGAAATATTTCATGCCAATAAAATTGAAAAAAAAAATAGAAGTCTGATATCATTAAGGTTGAGCAGTATAAAGCAGTAGATGCCCCTCCAAAAGTTGGCAGAAGTGCCATTGGAAACAACTAGTTTGAAGAGTGGTTTGACAACACCTACGAAGGTGGAAAATGCTCATTCCCACCACCACAAAAATAAACAAAACAAAAACATGTTTAGAAAACCTCTCAACATAGAAAAATCAGTTGTGTTTCCATACATTAACAATGAGCTATCCCCAAAAGAAATGATCAACCCCATTCAGAATAACATAAAAAGGAATACTATACTTAGGAATGAACTTAACAAAGGAGATGAAAAATCTGTATGGTAAACATTATAAAGCATTAATGAGAAATTGAAGAAGACAAAAAGGGAAAGGCATCCTATGTTCATAGACTAAGAATTAAAATAGTTAAAATGTCCATACTATCCAAACTGATGTACAGATTCAATACAATCCATATAAAGGTTCCAATGGTATTTTTTACAGTAATAGGAAAAGCAATCCTGAAATGTTTGTGAACCCAGAAAAGATCCCAAATAGCTCAGGCAATCTTGAG